TCCAATTATCACATCCAAGGCCCAGTGGTGGGTTTCAAAAAAGTTTGAAACCTCTTCTGCAGGTGTGGCCGGCTTTCCGGGTCCACTGGTGGAACCTCTTCTAACCGGTTCGGTAGATTTGACGAACCGGTTCTACCGAATAGGTGCGAACTGGTAGGAACCCACCTCTGGAGTCCATGCACATTTGAGAAAGAGAAATCAGTGCTTGAGAAAATAACTGAACTGAACCAAACACCTATACTACAAATGCAAATTACAAGCAAACGACAAAGTAATATGCCCACACAATTACTACAACGCACACATCACTGCTTAACATATGTAACTGCTTCGATTAGTCTCATGTCCCTAAAATACCTCTGCGAGCTCTCTTCAGCTGGGCACATGACATGAAATTCTAGCTCATTTAACAGGAAGGTGCTAGGAATAGTCACTTGTGGTGATGCAACAACATTGAGCTTTCAACAGAGTTAAAATCTTTGTCTCTCTTTCCCACTAAACTTTAATTAAATTTATTTATTTTCATGAAAGTATCTTACATCGGCATTTTGCTGAGAAGTTTAAAGCCATGAAATCAGAAATGGAAAACTCCAAATGTTATTGGATTCTGTTTTCACTCCAGTTAGATTGCCCAGTGATTAGAAGGTAATGGGAAATTGTATGTTAAAGCATACAGAAGCCACAGGTTTCCCACATCTTTGCTTTAACTGGCTAATGGGATGTTTTCTGATGGTGGTAGGAAAGGACTGCTATAATTTGCATTACGATTCTGCAATTGGAAAAATGTTAGAATCCATAATGCTTCTCCTGAGTGAAGTAAGCCAAGCGGCTTAGGTGACAGACGGGATAAAAACAGAATCATATATCTGGGCTAGGTCAGGCGGTTCTTGAAGTATAGTAAACAGCAGATTGAATTTCAGCTAAAGAAAAACTAAGGAACACATTGTGGGAAATCTAGAGACCATATTTGGTTTGGCTTCTGCTTTGAGGGAGAGGGAAAACAGTATCACCCACTCACTGCGGTGGATCACATTAGAATGATTTGATCCTTTTTCCAAAGGGAAGAAGAGTAGCCAAGATTCTAACGATAACACAATCATTTTGCACAAGAAAAAAATAACCATCCAAGCCTCAGTCCTACATACATATTTGTTGTGGCCCGGCAGGAGCCGTTGGAGCTGCCGCCAGACTCCGACAGCGAGGGGCCTTATGAGTCGGCCATGGGGGAGGTGGAGGACCCTGGACAGGGTTCCGACTCCGAGCAGGGCGAGGAGAGACTGGATGGCCACCAGGTGGTGGCGGAGCCTTGGATCAGAGGGAGAGTTCAGG